GCTTTCCCAGCTACTGACCCTCACCTCAGGCCTCTGTCCCACACCTTCCTGGGTCCCCTGAGAGAATCTCAGTCCTGCCTCAGGTGGCAGACATCTCCCCTCCCGCCCCCACCCCCCATCCTTTATTCCTCCCCTTCCCCAGTTCTCTGCAACTGTTGACAGTGCTAAAAGTTTGGTTTCTTTCCTCCAGGGCCAGTTTCTTACGCATGTCTCTTCTCTCTCTTTGTCTCTGTCTCTGTCTCTGTCTCTCTCTCTCCTTTCCCTCTCCCTACTACTGTCCGTGGGGCCTTCTCGTCTCACCCCGGCTGGTGGGCTGCCCACCCCGGGCAGGGAAGGCCGGATGGTGGTGCTATCCTTGGTCTTAGGGCTTTCGGAGCAGGATGACTTTGCCAATATCCCTGATCTACAAAACCCAGGAACTCAGCAGAACCAGAACGCTCAGGGGGACAAGAGGTACGAGAACAGGCAAGGCCTGCGGTGGCGGCGGCGGCGGCAGCGGCGATGGCAGAGAAAGAGGCTCGGAGAGGCTGCCGGCCCCAGCCGACGCCGGCTGCTGGACGAGGCGGTGCCTTCAGTGGAAGCTGGAGCAGGAGGATGAGCCCCTCCCCAGCCGATGCCCATGGCCACCTTGGTGGGGTCCCTCAGGTCTATGAAGGGACCATCCTGGGACCATTCTGGATCAAGCCTGCTCCCTGGCATGCTTGCCCTGGCCTGGAGCAAGCCCAGCCCTCTCGGCCCCATCTTTCCTGCTTGGCTTCCTCTCTGCTGTCCCTCCATCTCTCATCTCTGCCCCACCCCAGCCCGGAAATCCCTGTTTCACTGGTGGTTGCTGGATGGGGAGGATGTTAGGGGAGTTGGGCACCAGCCTGTCCCCGCTCATCCCCACCACCCCAACCTCCCTCTTGCCTGGAGGGAGAGAAACCCCTAGTGGGGAGGTCTGGGGGGCGGGAGAGGCCTGGTGACCAGAGGCAATCAGAAGGACAGCCCTGGAGTCCAGATGTCAGGAAGAGAGAGTAAGCAGGCAGGGCGGATGCCCAGGCCTCACTGGAGCAGGTGCCCTGTACTAGCTGCTGCTTCTGGCCTTGGTAGGGACCAAGTGGCCATCACACATGCTGAGCAAAACCTGAGTATCCGGATTTCCGGAAAGCCACCATTTAGGAATTCAGGGAAGCTCTCCTGCTGTCTGTCCTCTGTCTCCAGGAGAGGTGGGCACTGCTCAAGGGCCAAAGGGAGAGGGGCCAGAGGTCTCAGGGCTTAGTGGCATCCCAAAAGCGGGAGCTATCTCCTGCACCCCTTTCCCCCAGCCTGCATTAGACTAGCCAGACGCACAACCACATTCCTGAGGAGGAGGGGCGATGGGCACCACCCATACCAGGTCTGCTCCTCAGGAACCCAGAGGTCTAGGGGAGAGGGTGTGGCCTAGCAGCCAGGGCGCCTGCCTCGGCTTGGGGGCAAGAAACAGCTCCTATCTAGGCCTCTGCATTTGTTGAGTGAAGATCAGACAGGGTGACCTGTAAGAAATGGACTAACGGGCTAATAAGGAAGCGAACCCTTGGGCAGGGAATGTTTGGCGGGTGACTGATGTTCATTAGGAGGCCTGATGTTCATCAGGGGCAGGAAGGGGCTGTCCCGGGCACTGCCAGGGGCTGAGATTTAGACAGCCAGCTTGCTGTCCCCAGTAGCTTCTGGAGATCGGCCCTCTCAGCTCCCCCCCCACACCCACCCTCAGTTCACCTTGCATGTCTGTGGTGGAGCAGAAGTGCTCAGAGAGTGAGTGGGAGGGGAGGACGGGACTGGCTCTTCTACGCGGTGGCACTTTTGGCGTCCTGAGCCCATGTCTGGAACACCTGACCCACCTGTACGTGGCAGAAGCCATAGCGTCTCCAAGCTGGGTGGCAGGCAGGCCAGGGGGCCACCGGCGAGAAGGCAGCAGGGGGATTGGAGCCCTCCAAGAGCCTGCTAAGAACCTGGTCCCCTTGCTGGGAAAGGTGTGAAGCGTGAGGAAGCAGATGCAGGCTGGAAACGAGATTTCACCTCACCCATGTACGTGTTAATTAGCCGGCTCCATTTTCACCCATAAGCCTATTTTTACCTCCTTGCTACTCAGGTCTCACTCCATATTTTAACACACCCATCCCCTTCTGATCATGACATCAGCTTGTCTTCTGCCTCCCTGGGGATGGTGGGTGTGGAGGTGGAGGCCCCGGACCCTCCCCCCACCCTGCCTGACTTTCCAAGCGGTTACATGCCACCCTACCTGCTCATGCCCATCCATCCTGGATATGAGTTGCTCATGACCGCTGCAGTGTTTTCTTAGGGGTGGGCCCCCCTACAGAATCAAGTGCTTCCTCCCTAGCAAGCTTCCCCATCCCAAAATTTTGGTCCTAGGAACCTCTAGCCAGGCCCCAGCACCTCCAGACCACGCACTTGCTTACCCTCTGGGATCCCAGACCCTCCCAGTGGCCAGTTGAGTCATTTGTCTCCTCCTCACCTTGTTTTCAGACCAAGGGTCTGCCCTTCTACCCTCAGTCCAATCCTTCCCACCCTCGTTGGATCCCCTTGGTCATATGTCTTAGCTGATGTCTGGAAGAACAATCCCTCCTCCCCAACACACACACACCTTGGTTCCTGCCATTCCAGGACCCCGGGCAGGGTAGGAATGTGTCCAACAAGCTGCAGGGAAGTAGAAGGGGTGTGTTCAGTCTCCATCCCCAGATTCCTGGGGCCCGCCTAGGTTACCCCAGCCCCGGGAGTGCTCTTGGAGGGAGGCAGGGAGCCAAGCTGGCCGCTGGCTCCGTGCCCTGCTGTGCCCCGTCCACTCATTCACCTCCACCTCCATCACCCCCTCGCCATTCCACCTGTGCTCCTTGGGATCCAAATGGTTTCCACCGTGGCCCCACCCCCACCCCAAGTGGGAGGCAGGGCAGGTCAGGCCACCCCATTGCTCGCCTCCTCTGAAGCCGCCATGTCCCTTCGCCCCTGTGTGTCCCCTGCCTCCTCTCTGCCTCTCCTGTTGGCCGCCTCGCTCCTCCTTGTCCTCTCGTCCTCCCAAGCAGCCTTCTACACACGTCTCTAACTAACCTTTCTTGGCCTCTCCTCTCTCTCTGTCTCTCTCTCTGTCTCCTTCCTCCCATCTGCTCCTCACAGGGCCGGTGACGGGTCCCTTGGCCTCTCCCTGTGCCTCTCTCTGTCTCCGCCCTGTGGCCTCCAACAGCTTCGGTGGCGCTGACCATCTTTCCCAGGCTGCCTTGCAGCTGTGCTGACACTGTGGCGTGGCCAAAATAACTCCAACTTTCTCATACCTTCAGCAGTCAACCTCACGCTCTCTCCTCCTCTCCTGCTCTATTTTTAACCTGACTTTACCTCTTCAGCTATTTCAGTCTCCTCTTCCTCCCTGTGCCTGTCTGTGTGAGCACGTGTCCACGTGTGTGTATGTGGCAGTGTGGGCGGGGTCCCAGGTACACCTGCGGTTCTGGTACTGAGGTATCTGTGCCTCTGGGGAGGGGGGCCTGGAGCAGTGGCAGGGTGGATGTATCTGGGGTTCTCAGCAAGGCCAGGTTCTCACACCAGGTGTGTTGTGCACCTGATGATCAGGGATGGGTCTGAGTCTGCCCCCTGACTCTTCTGCTTCAGTTTGTCCCAATCCACATGCACACATTGGCATGCCTGGGTCTCCCCAAATGCATTTCTGGTGGGGATTGAAGTGTGCCCACCGCTCTGTGTGTGTGTGTGTGTGTGTGTGTGTGTGTGTGTGTGTGTGTGTGTGTGAGATCTCAGCTGCTCTGGTTGACCTGCCTGCTGCCCATGCTATATTCTCTTCCTATTCCTCTGGGCATCTGTTCGGCTCATGTGCATGTGTGTGTGCAGGTGTGTGGGTCTGCGTTTGTGTAGCCTGCTGTTGAATCCTGGTGTCCGTTCACCCCCCCCCCCGAGACTGGCATATTCCATGCATGTCGGTCTGTCTGTGCCTGTTGTGGCCGCCTGTGTGCTGTGGCTGGTCTGTACCGGAGGCCATGGCTTGTCCGGCCTGTGAAGCTGTGAGTCTGTGCTCTCGACGCTGTTCTGTTCCAGCCTGCCCGAGCCCCATGCTCCCAGTCCTGTCTCCTCCTTGCTGCCTGCCCCCACCTCTCTTCCTCCTCATGGGACGTTCCAGTCTGGTCCCTGGGCAGGTTGTAGGCCCCCTTCCTGAGCCCTTAGCTGAATGGAGCTCGGGCTCACTGCCCTGAACAGCATGGAGTCGGGTGCAGACAGGACTCCTGGGTGCTTGCCCCCATACTTCTCTCACCCTTCCTCATCAATTATGGAGTCACCTGGTGGAAAGAGGGTGGAGACTGGGGAGCACAGGGTGCCACCCTGCCTTGCCTACTAGGTAGCTATTAAATCTACATTAGCCTAGTGATCAAATGCAGACTCTTGCAGCCACTCACGCTGGCCACGTTGCAAAGTCTCAGCCTCTTGCCTATGTGTGGCCAGTGATTGCGGCAGGGGTCAGCGCACATAGAGAGAGCACTTCGGTGGTGGTGGGAACTCGCTGGGCAGAGTTTGTGTGGATAGTGACCCTGCCCCCACCTGTGATCGGCTGGGCCTGAGCAAACACGGGTGGGGCTCTGGGAGACAGACACTGTGGCGTGTTTACAGAGGGTAATGATGCAGAGAGGCACCTGGATGTGCCACCCGGAGCCTGCCCTCCAAGGCAGGGGTGGGGTCAGCCTCTGGCTGAGCGCGTGAGCTTGTAGAACAGCCATGCAAGCTGGGGGACTGGGGTCTTGGGGAACAGGAAGAATGTGGACACCCTTCAAATGGTCCTCACAAAGGTACTTAACGCCCTGAGTGCTGGGCCTGGGGTGGGAATCCATTCTCCCTGTGGACAAGAATTCTGCTCTTGCAGAGGCTGGATCTTCAGAGAAGGCCTTCCAGCCACCCAGGCCCATGGTACCCAGCCCACTCCACCCCCCCCCAGCCCTCACTCATCGGGTCTCCTCCCCCCTCCCCCCTGCCAGGTTACCTGCAGGAGGGAAGGCCGTGAACACGGCCCCTGTACCGGGCCAGACACCCCACGATGAGTCAGACCGCAGGACTGAGCCCCGCTCATCTGTCTCGGACCTCGTCAACTCCCTCACCAGCGAGATGCTTATGGTGAGAATGGGGGGGGCAGTGAGGGAGAGGGGAGGCTGTGCCCCACAGAGGAGCTGGGCTAGGAGGCTGGTGGGGGAAGGGGCATACACGGAAACTCACACGGGCCCACTTGAGCGCTGGACCCAGCCAGAGGTGGCCTGGAGAGTCACGCTCAGCGTGGGGACCGCTTGGTGCTTGCTAACTGGTAGGACAAAGCTCAGGTTCTTTTCCTGGCTCTTTCACCCAAATAGCCTCTTTGTGCACCTGTTTCCTCCATTGTCAAAGGAGAATAAGAATAACCATCCTCCTTTGATCTCTTTCTGGATTGAAAAGAGCACCTACTCTTGGGAGATAGCTTCTAAACGGAGAGGCTGGCATGCAGTAGCCAGGGATAGTTTGTAGAAGGAGAGGCTGGCCTGCAGTAGCCAGGTGAGCCTGTCCTCTGAGTGGAGGTCTGGGGTAGAGCTCTTGGCCAAGTCGCTCACATCACCAGTGACCTCACCACTCCACGGTGGGAGGCCCAGAGAACGGAAGAGCAGGAACCCCCACCCCCAGGTCCTTCCTGTGAGTGGATAGCTGTGCTAGGGCGCTCCTGTCCACAGCTCACCTGGAGGCCATCTGCCCTGCGGAAGCCCAGATCTGGGTTGTTTGGAGGCCTTGGGTTGTAGGCTGCATGGCTCCTCCTGGTGGCAGAAGTGAATCACAACCCCTGCCCCACCTGTTCTTTGCAGAGAGCTCCTTGGCTTGGCCCAGAGGGAGGCTGTGCCAAAACCAGTTACATGTCTGGAAGGCTTAGTGAGGCCTGGACATGGCCAGAATGAGGGAGGGTCCTTCTATAGAGGCAGGAAGTAGACTTGGGGAGGGGGTGAGGACACACAGCTTCTATCTCCTTGTCTTCCACGTCCTACCCTTTGCCAGTTAGGGCTTCGGCCCTGTTCTTACTAGCAGCCCCACAGCCCCTTTCAGGCTTGCCATATCTCCATTTACCGTGGTAAAGTGCAGATCCCAGGCAACAAGCCTACACCGAGGCCCAGGCATCTGCATTTCTCTCCGATTCAGGTTAGAGCCCGTCTTGAGCCGTCTTCCTCTCCCTGCCTCAGTCATGTGATTGACCCCACACTGCCCTCCTCCCTACCTGCCCTCAGCCATGTACAGAGCCTGGCCATCTTCAGTTCTAGACAGCCCATTGCCACAGCCTGCTCTCCTCCCTGCCCAGCCCCTTAATTGGCTCTGCTTCTGGCTAGCCAGGTTCCCAGAAAGGACAGCCCTTTCCCAGCCAGCTTGCTGGCCCCTGGCTGCCCTCAGGGAGGGGCCGACAGGCACAGGCAGCAGATGAAAACGCAGGCCTTCTCCCGCTCATGTCCTCTGCCCTATGCCGCCGGGTTGTTGGAATTAACAGTCCCTAACGGTAAAGATAACCAGGCCCAAGTGAACCCAATGAGCTTCCGGCCTGGGTCGTAGCAGCTTGGGGATCTCAGGAGATGAGGGAGATACGCAGAGCTGACCAGCTGAGAGAAGATGTCAAGCCAAACCCATTGGGGTATTCCAGACCTGGCGCAGGCTGGTGTTCTTTAAGACTTGTCTCCTGGGACAGGGCCTCTAGCAGCCCCTCCCTGGAATGGGGAGGGGAGGGGAGGTATCCTGGTTACCATGGAGACAGCTGGTTCATTAGGACTCCCAGCTGTGGATGGGAAGGCTGGGAGAGAGTTCAGAGGCATTCCCCTTTCCCAAAGTAAAGCCTAAAAGCCACAAGGACCTCAGCTAGGGCCCCAGACACCCCAAACCGTACCCTAGCTTTCAAGGAATAAAGAGGGGCAAATGATTCTTGTCGATTGTGAGGCCTGAACTCTGGGCCTGGGCACTGTCCCTCAGCTCTTCAGCTCAAGGCGAGCACTCTACCACTTGAGCCACAGTGCTACTTCCAGCTTTTTTTGCTTATGTGGTGCTGAGGAATCGACCCAGGGCCTCATGCATGCAAGGCAAGCATTCTACCACTGAGCCACCTACCCAGCCCCAAGTGGTTTTTTTTGGTGGCACTGTCCATGCATGCCAGGGCTTCTCTCGATCCTACAGCCAGAGAGCTGGGGTGCTGAGCAGGATTTGGAGGCCCTCAGGGTCCCAGACTGGGTCACATGATCCCATTCTGCAGATGGAGAAACTGAGAATAGGTTGCCATGAGGGAGAAGCCAAGTCATGTTCTCAGTGGGTCTGGCAAAGGGCTGGGAGAGGCGGGGATCTGCCATGAGTGTGGCCTGGACGGACTCTGCTGATGTGAGGAAGAGCAGCTATGGCGGCCGCTCAGTGTCCCCCGCATGACAGGGTTCAAGCTCTCAGGACACAGTATAGGTCTGGGTAGCTAGGTGCTAAGGATGTGGGTACCTGTCTGGGTTCAAGTTCCCATTTACCATTCAGTGACTGGCCTCCAGTCACCTGAGCTCCTCTGTGCTCCAGATGGAAGGTAGAACACTGTGGTGCCTGACCATTCACTGTGTAGTGAGGAGTGAGTGGAGATGAGGCGTATGGCATGGGCAGACTTGAACACCCACCCCTCCCTAGCACAGGTGACTTTGCTGGTGTGGGTGTGGGGGGGTGTATCTTACTATCACCCTGGACAGGGGTTGGGGGGAGCAGGAGGGTTAAGCCTGCTTTGATGGACAGAGTAGGCCTTCAAGTCACAAAGGGCTCCTACTGCTGTGTGTTCTTGGACATGTGACTTAACCTCTCTGAGCCAGTCTCCTCAGCCAGGAGGCGGTGACAGCTACCTGGGCCAGCGGTAAGAAGTCTTCTGCATGGTAGGTGACATTATTGCTATCTGCGTTATTTAGAACTTCAGAGCTGGGGCTTGCCTCTCTAGGATGAAGGCCGGCACAGAGGTTTCTGTTAAAAGCAAGTACCTGCAGATTAGGTGACTGTGTAGCTCCCCCAGGGCCTACTATCCCTGGCTCATCAGCGATGCCCAGGTGGCGGGGTCTTAAAACCTCTCCAGGTGTCCCTCGTGGAGCAGCTACCTGGCTGAGAGCCCCGCCCCCAACCACCTGCCACACACACACACACACACACACACACACACACACGCACACGCGCGTGTGCCCCAGACATCCACTGGTGTCTGTAACAGCCCCCAAAGCCAGCCCTGACACAGGGCACTCAGCAGGGGGCACAGCCTTCTCCTCGTGTCCCCACCTAGACTCACAGTGCAATCATCAGCCCAGCCTGAGCCGGCAGCCTCGCTGAGGCCAGGGCCTGTGGAGTCTGTGATTCTTCCAGCCCCTAGTGGACCTGACTTACACCTCACCCCAAAGCGCCTGCCTCTCGCCTTATAACTCGCACTATGGGGGCATCTTAGAGCCGTGTGTGGTGAGCTCTGGGGGGGAACAGCCCCTCATCTGCGTTGCGGCCCACTGTGTCTCCACTGTGTCACACCGTGTGTGTCCCTCACACACATCAGGATGCTGGGACAGGGAGGCTAAGACAGTCTGAGGTGACGCTTGAAGCCGGCCAGACCCCGGGGCTGCAGGGGAGGCAGGAGAGCGGCGTGGCCTGCCCACACTCTGAGCCACTCCAGCTCTGCCTCGCCGGCCTCCCTTGAGCCCTGGTGGCGGAGGGCACGCTTGCGCACTGGGTCAGAACTTCCTCTGCTGGCGGTTAATGCAAAGCCCTCCCCAACCCCACCCCAGCCCCAGCCAGCCCCCTCATGCCGATCCAGACACAGTGGGGGGGGGGTACGGAGGAGGGGTAGTGTCCTAACAGCTGGCCTGGACTCCAGCACAGAGAGAACTGTGGACCCTTCTGGGCTGTGGAGAGGCCCAGGAGAGGCAGAGTGCACCCCTCCAACCTGCTGGCTTCTCCTGCCCCCAGCTCTCCCCAGGCTCGGAGGAGGACGAGGCCCACGAGGGCTGCAGCCGTGAGAACCTGGGCCGGATCCAGTTCAGCGTCGGCTACAACTTCCAAGAGTCGACGCTCACCGTGAAGATCATGAAGGCCCAGGAGCTGCCGGCCAAGGACTTCAGCGGCACCAGCGACCCCTTTGTCAAGATCTACCTGCTGCCCGACAAGAAGCACAAGCTGGAGACCAAGGTGAAGCGCAAGAACCTGAACCCCCACTGGAACGAGACCTTCCTCTTCGAAGGTGAGCCGGGCCCCCACACCCCCTTCCGTGCCCTTCCCTCTACCCACCATTGCTCGCCTCCCCCACACGGGCACACGCGTGTGCATGCACACCCAGAGGCATCGTCTCAACCCGTTGACCCAAGGCATCATGGGGCTTAACTCACATCAGGGTTCAGATGCTGAGAAGAATCAGCACTGGCACACCAGAGGCTGAGGAGGGAAGTCGGGCCTTGTTAGGGCCTCCAGCCCAGACTCAGGACTCCTCCTGGGGAGGGCAGGATGGGCAGGAGGTGCCCATGCCCATGCCGTTCTGAGATTGAGCACCCTGGGGCAATCAGTGTCGTGGTCCTGGCGGCCTGGGTTTGAATCCTACCTGTCACATTTCTTGTGTAATCATGGACCACTTCCTAAACCTTTCTGGGCTTTGGTGTTCTCATCAATAAAACAGAGGCAGGAGTGAGAATTTCAGTATTGTCTGTAATAGGATAGCTGGTAACCAGCGAGTACGCTGTCAGAGCTCAGTGAGCAGCACCTGGCCCTCCGACCGCTGCCCCAGCCTTGGCTGACCTCTGCCTCGCTCCCTACGTGGGATGGAGTAGAGGCGCCCCGCCGTGCCGTCTGGGACCCTTCCTCATTCATGAAGCTTATTCTTATCTCTAATGTCAGAGGGTCGCTGGGAGGCTGGGCTTATGATTAAGGAACAGTTTCTGTCCCATAGCCTGTGGGTGTCACATCCCCACTCACAGAAGCCAGAGCCGACAGCCTGACAGCCTGGTTCAACCAGTGAGAATAAACCCCTTGGATGCCAGCCGCCCCAGTGCCCTGGCACACCCCAGAGACCTTCTCCAGCCAGTGTCCACATCCTTGCCATTCTACAAGGTCGCAAAGCATGGCCCCTCTTCCCCAGCTCAGCCTGGGGACCAGGTTAGAGGTAGCACCAAGCCCAGCAGTTACTCAGCACTGACTTGGAGTTAGTACTGGAGCTCAGAAGAGAAGGAGGCATTGCGTGGACCTCCAGCATCCCAGCCTAAAGGAGGACCTGGATGAGCCGATAATGAAGCCACACACAACATGACAAATGCTATAGGAACTCATCTTGATGAGCAAAAGAAATCTTCCCCAAAGAGGGGCCATTCAGGGTAGATTCTGATGGCTGCGTAGGAGTTTGCTAGATGGGCAATGACTTGCTCTGATTGTGTGGAGCTGTCAGATTCAGGAACCCCTTCAAAGCATCAACCAACCTTTCCCAGAATACTTGTTCTCCATTTCGCCCAAACACATGCCCAGGGTCACCTGGGCGGAGTCCTTTGAAGAGTTCCAAGATGACCCAGACACAAGAAGGTCCTTGAACAAGTTCAGAGGATTGGTCTCTTCTAGCTCAGCTGCTCTGGTCAAAGCCTCCTCTGCTGCCAGTGTGAAGGTTCTAGATTCTTCTAGAGCTCTTCCCTCCCTCTATACCTTCTCCATCAGTCCAACTTAGGTGCGCCCTTCTCCCTACTCACCTCTCAGTTCAAGATCTCAGCCTTCAGACTGGCCTGTGTCCCTCCCGCAAAACCACCCCAGTCCCCCCTACCCAGCCCCCAAATCCTCTGGGGCCTGTAGCTCCCAGCTTCTGACCTTCCCCGATTCCCTCTCTCTTTTTGTTCTGGCGGCTCTGTCCATCATTTCCCTGGCACCCATTCATCCCTTCAATTATTTATTCTCTTAACAAATATTTATCGAGTGCCTACTATGTGCCAGCAACGGCGTTAGCCACGTGGGTCTAGCGGCTGGTCACAGAGATGCCTTCCTGGAAGTCCCTGCGAGTCAGGCAGTAATGAAGGAAACAGACGGATAAGTCTATTACGGCTTGCAATCCACACTGGGAAAGGGAAGTGCTCGAGCGTGGAACAGGGCATCCGGCCATCTGGGATGGCAGGAGAGAAAGCTGAGAACTCAAGATGACAATAAACTGGGAGGGAGCAGGAGGGGAGGGGAGGGGAGACAGTGCGAGCCAAGGCCAGGAGAGGTGGGGGCCCGGTCAGGGTACAGAGGTCTGGAAGGAGGCATCTGGGCTGGAGATTTGCCCCATCATTGATTGCCTTTGCAAGAAAACGGGGCACAGACAGCAGGGCCGGATTGTAGGAGGACTTGGAAGCAAGGTGGGGTGCTGGCTTTCAGCAGGAGTGGCCGGCCCGTGATGTACGGGCTATTTTTAAAGCTTGCTCCGGCTGCTGTGTGGAGAATGGACTGTGGGAGAAAGCAGGGAAGCGGGGAGGGCGGTGTCATGGTTGTCCAGGCACGAGGTGCGGGTGGTGTGGCTGCAGAGGTGATGTGGAGGAGAGCAGGAACACAGGATCTGTTCAGGATGCACAACATCTAAGGCTGGTGCCTTGGATAGCTGTCTGTTCCCAGTTCTACGCCTTTGCTGTTTGCCTCGCTTGATGTTTTCCCATTTCTCCCCACCCTCATGTGTCCTGGGCTTTCTGACTGACAGCTGGACAGCCTCCAGCACCGCCACTTGTCCAGATTTGGCAGCGGCTCTCCAAAACAGGAACCCCTGCTGCCCAGTTCCTGAGATGGCCACGTGGGGAATTAGTGCATGGACTGCCTCTATTGGTAGCTGTGGAGCTTTGCAATTAAGCTACTTGGGCCTCGGTTTCCTCATCAGTTAAATGGACAAGATACTAGAAAAATAGTTGTCATGTGAGATCCAGTTCTCAATAGCACTTTAGAAAGTTGTACTGCAGTCGGGTGTGGCCTACAGGCCTAGGACACAGGGCCAGCTCTCGGGGCTAGCTGGCCAGCCTGCCTGCCTCCTTCCTTCCTTGTTTCTTTCCTCCCCTTCCTTTCTTCCTTCTTTCCTTCCCTCCTTTCCTCCCTCCTTCCTTGCTTTGTCCCTCCCTCCCTTCCTCCCTTCCCTCCTTCCCTTTTCTTCTTGCCCTCTCTCCCTCACTTCCTCTTTCCTGGGCCACACGTGGCTTTTCTGTCCTCTCCTCACCCCACACGTCTATCCCTCTCAGGTTTTCCCTACGAGAAGGTGGTGCAGAGGGTCCTCTACCTCCAGGTCCTGGACTACGACCGTTTCAGCCGCAATGACCCCATCGGGGAAGTGTCCATCCCCCTCAATAAGGTGGACCTGACCCAGATGCAGACCTTCTGGAAGGATCTGAAGCCATGCAGCGATGGGAGTGTAAGTCTCCCTTGTGGTCCATGGATGATGGCAGCTCCTGGTCTCTCCAGGGCTTTGGGAAGCCAGCATGGCGTGGGGTAGGGTCCTGGTGGATGGTCACACTGAGGGACTCAGTGTCAACACTCTACTCAGCACTGATCTGGGAGAAAGACCCAGGGTCTCTGTTCAGCAAACTGGAGACCCTAGACTGGCCAGAGGAGGCGAGGTAGTCTAACTGTGGTAACAGACAGGGGGGGACAGGTAAGCACCCCGGTAGATCAGGGCAGGGGGAGTCTGGTTATCTGTTGTGCCTCCCAGGGACCCTCACCCTCCTGTTGTTCCCCCAGGGGAGCCGAGGGGAGCTGCTCTTGTCTCTCTGCTACAACCCCTCTGCCAACTCCATCATCGTGAATATCATCAAAGCCCGGAACCTCAAAGCCATGGACATCGGAGGCACATCAGGTACTGGGGCTCCTCATGGCAGAGGGGGCATCCCCAGGGGGGCACCTGGAAGACAGAGGGTGGGGCGTGCCCTGCAGCTCTCCTCCTGTTCTCCCAAGCCAGGGCCTCCGCCCCAGATACCCCGAAGGGCCCCTTACCACACCCTTAGGGTCTCCTTGGACTTGTCCCTGCCAGAATCAGAGACACGAGGATTTTGTACTGGGACAGCTTGGTTCCGAGCTCTAGCTCCAAAGCCAAGTGAGTGAGATGGGGAAGCCGTGGCCGCTAGAGCTGGGGCTCCTCCCGGGTATTGGCTTGAGGACACTAGGGGATGGCCCAGCTTCGTTCTGGTTCTGCCATAGGCAGTTCTCCCTGAGGTCTCCCATTCTGCCTTAGTGTGCAGCTCTGGAGATGCGCACAACCAGCGCTCACCTCGGCATCCACACCTAGAAGGACACCGGGATCCTCGCAGTCCCCCTAACACAAGGACTCTAACCCTTCTCCCACACCCCCAGATCCCTACGTGAAGGTGTGGCTGATGTACAAGGACAAACGGGTAGAGAAGAAGAAGACGGTGACGATGAAGAGAAATCTGAACCCCATCTTCAACGAGTCCTTCGCCTTTGACATTCCCACGGAGAAGCTGAGGGAGACCACCATCATCATCACTGTGATGGACAAGGACAAGCTCAGCCGCAACGACGTCATAGGCAAGGTAGGCCAGTAGGGGGCGCATGGCCTGGGCCCATATTTCTTTGTGGAGGAAAGAGGAATTTTCCTCAGGAAAGAAAGTTTTCTAAGAGGAACCTTCGAATCAGTTCCAGAGTTCTTGGAGGTCCACCTTCAAAGAGGGTGACCTGTGCAGGGGAAGGGACACCAAAGGCCTGACTTCAGTTCCGTTCCCACCTTATACAGATGTGTGGGCTACAGCAAGTCATGTGACCACTCTGAGCTTCTCTAACATGGAGGGACTAATGCCAATCCTACAGAGCTCTCCAGGGTGAGATTCTCTCAGAGAACCCTCTGAGAGCAGACACCAATGGCTCATACCTGCAATCCTAGCTACTAAAGAGGCTGAGATCAAATGTGATTTAAAGCCAGCCCAGGCAGACAAATCCCCAAATTCCTATCTCCAATTAATCAGCGAAAAGCCGTATGGCCCAAATAGTAGAGCCCCGCAGCCTTGAGCAGAAGAAAGCCAAGTGATAGTGACAGATCCTGAGCTTAAGCCCAGTACCAACACCAAAAACAAACAAACAAAAAAAAAAACTGCCTAAGATAGGTATAAATTCTCCATTCTCCTCACCCCTACTTCTTTTCACCTCTGAGCCTAAGAATCCATACCTAGCCTCGAGTGTGCCTTTATGACATAAGCCCTTCCATTGCCCTGTTTTGAAAGGATCTCTTCCTGTTTATGGCTTAGTGTTGAGAATGGACTCACGGGTTCCAGCCCCATCTCTTGTTACCTTTGGCAGTGCTTAGGGACGGAACCCAGGGCCTCCTGCCTGCGAGGCAAGTGTCCCACCACGAGCCACACCCCCAGTCCTCTGGCCCTGCCTCCAGCAGCTGTGACTTCTCAGAGCCTTCTTTTCTCTTCTCAAGATGAGAATGGAACCATCCTAGCCACACAGCCTGTGGGGAGAGCTAGGTGACACCTCAGTGAGATGCTTGCCATAGCACTTGGTGCGTATAGGTTAGCTACTATTTATTACAAGTTCCTTTTTAAATGTTCTGCTAAAGGCACCAGGGTCTGTTCAGTCAGGAAGCCAGTGATCAGAGTTAGTGATGGGGAGCCAGGGGTGGCAGGAGGTACTGCCTTGTTTGGGGAAGATGGGAGTGGCCACATTCCTGCAGGGAAGGGGTTGAGCTGGAAGCCCCCCCCCTGGCAGATGGGAGAGGAGAGCCCAGCCATTGGAGGGCAAGGGCAGCCTGGCTTTGTGAGGGAGAACAAGCCCTGGGAGCTGACTCACCAATCTGTGGTCACAGGTGGGACAGCTCCCTGGGACCCGCCTTCCCCTACTCCAGCCAGACTCTGCTCTGTGGACAGCTACGCCCCAGGGGTGAAATGCCCACCTAGGTCCTCTTCTAGGCTCTTTCATGGCTCAGCCTTTTGGAATTGGGTGTTCCTTCGATATCAACGAGAGCTGCTTTAGAAACAGGCCTGTCTCCTGTGGGCCAAACCCAGGCAAATGTGGATTTGTTCTTGCCTTGCGCCTAGAGAGTTTATGGGGCCTACGGATCAGGGGAATCCTTCTGAGATCCTGGGCCAGGCTCAACCCCTAGAAGCTAGGAATCTGTACCACTGATGATGCTGGTTATTGAGCTCGACTGAGCTCATAAATGCGGACCATTCCTAGAACCTCAGGGGTCAATAGTCAATCAGTTTCAGAGCTATGGATCTGACTTAGAGAATTCATCAAGGGAGCTCCTACCAGGTCCACTGAGTGGCCCAGGTGCCATCTCCAGCTGTCTGTGAGGCAGGTGCCATGATCAGTTATCTACCTTAGCTATTGATCCATCAATTGATCTTGTGGAACTGGGGATTTAATTTGGGGCCTTATATTTCCTAGGCAATACTCTCCCACTTGAACTATACCCCCCAGTCCTTTTGATTTTCAGCTAGGATCTGATCGTTTTTGCCCAGGCTAGCCTTGGATTGCAATCCTCCTCCCTCTGCCGTCCTGGTAGTTGAGATTACAGGTGTATGCCATCGGCCCATTTTATGCAGGGGCCTGAGTCTGAGAGAAGTAAATTTGCTTCTACATGCCAGAGCTGGATTTGGCTCACATGCTTTTTCTTTTATTAGTATATACCTCTTGAGTAATCTTAGATTTACAGAAAAGTATCAAACACAGTGTTCCCGGGGCTCCTGGTGCAGTCTCTCCATGAGCTTCTTGTATTGTATCAATGCAGTCTTCACCACCATGGCTGCCTACACTAGGGTTCTGAAAGCCTCAGCACACAGCCCCACAAAGCTATGGAGTCCTAACACAGAGGCCCAGCAGGATCAGCCATCTAGAGCCTTGAAAGACTTGCCGTAAATCCCCAGGCACAAACTGTAGCTAAGGGTTAAGTCTCTTCATTCTTTGTGCCTTAGTTTCCCCCATCTGAAACCATCTCGTGGTTGTAAGGATGCCATGATCCAGAAATAACAGAGCCCTAGCTCAGGGCCTGGCAGGTAGGAAATTCACAAGAGGCAGAAACGATGGTGATGATGGAGAGCTAGGCAGTGCCCCCTGGCAGGCCAGAGAAAGCCAAGAGAACACACTGCCTTCACCCGTACCCACATCTGGCCCATCAATGTTCACTGCAAAAGAGATCGCAGTCTGATTCAAGGGCGGGCCTGCTCAGGCCCTGGCTGGGCCAGTAGAAAGGGGAAGGAGGAGGCCTGTGTGGCGGTACTGACACCACAATAATACATCCGCTCCCTTTCCTCCTCAGATCTACCTGTCCTGGAAGAGCGGGCCCGGTGAGGTGAAGCACTGGAAGGATATGATCGCCCGTCCCCGGCAGCCTGTGGCTCAGTGGCACCAGCTAAAGGCCTGAGTAGGGCCAGGAGAGGCCCAGGGGCAGAGGCCCAGGTCCCTGTCATGCCCTCACCACTTTATGCACAACACCCGGCCTGGCCACCCTGCCGTGGGTGAGGGGAGGACCCTGAGGGCTCAGCCAGGGAGGGGGGTCCCAGGACTCCATTGGGCCCCATGTCTAGGAAGCATCAGCCCCACCCCCACCAGTCCAGCTCGGGGGCGGGGCTCTGGGAGCCATTTTCCTGCTTTGCCCCTTTCCTTCCTGACTCGCTGACACTAAAGAAGTGGGGGAGAACTCGAGAGCCAGACGGGCAGATCCCTCCAGAGGCCCGCCAGGTGGGCACGGTCCCCCGTTTTCTTTAAGGCAGTGCCTGGAGTGGAGAGCAGCCACCCCTCCCCATAGCCCCCTAGTGTGGGTCCAAGGAGAGGGGGGCCTGAGGCGTTTGGCCCCAGCCAGGCTGATCAGGCCCATCACCAGGGCAGTTTCAGGCGCCGGCTGGGCCCTGAATGCCGAGGATAGTATATTGGCCGCTCCAGGATCCTGGAGCTATGGCCCTGTGTACTTGTGTTGTGTCCACTGTGTGTGCGTGTGTGTGTGTGCGCGTGCGTGTGTGCGTGTGTGAGGAGGGCACTCACTCCCCGTCCCCCCTGGGGCCAGCAGGCTATGTAGAAAAGCAGGATTTCATGAAGGCCAGGTAGGGCTCAAGGCGGGGAGAGGTTGAGGCCACAGCGCAGAGTAGAGCTCAGGGCTCTCCAGGAGCTCCTGCTTGAGCAATGTCATCTCTTGGACCTGAGTTCACATTTTGTAGGAACCTACTGTGTGCATAATATTCCACAGGACGGGCCTGCCCTTTTCCTTCTCAGGCATCCCACACCTCGCTCTCCTAACACCCTCACCCCTAGACACCCCCCCAAAAAAAAACCCTTCCATATCTCATTCCAGTCAACTTGGCAATATGTTCCAGCCTTCTTAACTTTTCTTATCTGTCCCTACCCAGCAGACCCTACCCCTCTGTCCCCTGCTGGAGACCTCCCCTTCCTTCCCTTGCCACACAGTCCCTGACAAACACCCACCCCACCGCACCCCCATCTCCTGAGCTGCTCCAGGCTCTTTGCACTTTGCTAACCCTTCCCAGGAATGCCAGGTTGGTTGGTTTTTTTTTATACCCCTCCCTCCCACCATGCAGGCAGAAGCAGCAGGGACTGGTCCAGGATTCTGGGGTCGCCCCCCACACAACACAGCTGTGTTTCCTCCCCTCAGCTACCACTGAGACTAGAACTGGCTTCCCTTTGAACAGAGCAGATTCTAGAATGACCGACCCCTGCTTAAGCCCTGTCATCTTTAAAACCACCCAGACTCAAAATGCCGATGCTCCAAGCTTGGGCCAGACATTCCCACAACGCACCACCAGGTGGTGATAGATCGCCACCATCTGTGTGTTTCTAGACCACAGTTTTCTACCCTGGGTGGGTCTGACACCCCAAAGGAAAATAAAGAGAGTCTCAGGACTGGGCCCTCACATCCAAAGCACAGCGAGATCATGGACTTTTGGAAGCTGTTTTCCTTCAGTAGGCTTGCCCTTGAGCTAGCCCTCTGCTCTCTGCAGTAGACGGGCTGCCTTTCATCCATACCAAAATGTTCTTAAACTGACTTTAACCAACACCCCCCTCACTCCCATTCCCCTCCCAACCCTTGGGATCTGGAGGAATATCATATGTAGTAGGTGAATTGTTTTGTAGAGCGAAGAATGCCAATGTAAAGCCAATAGTCACCCACATTCTTTGTAAATCCAAATGTTTCTATAGTGTAGCTTGTTTTAAATGGGGAGCTGCCCCTCAGTGGGGTCTCGGGAGGCTGTGCAGAAGTAGGAGAGGGTGGTGTCAGGTGGAGGGGACCTGTCATTCTCTGCACCCCTCTAGGATTCACCTGGGTTTTCTGCAGGGAGGGAGGGGGGCTGCAGGACCTTGGAGGAGAGTGAGCAAGCCCCCCCCAAGCCCCTCCCCTGTGGTTGTGTCCTCCAGGCCCCAGCCAACTCACATCGAGTGGGCGTGGCAAGTGCTTCCCCAGGGTACCGCCTATGGAGCTCTTAACCAATCATATGCTGAGAGCATCCTGACTAGGGGTTAGTTCCCAGTCAGACTCCACCCAAGTCACTTTGGTGATCTAGCCTGGGATTTCCCTGACCTCCAGCCATAGTGGGTGCTCCTGATCTGGCACCAGGAGAAGAGGTGGCTGGTAATTTGGAGTGGGAGCAGGACAATCTAAGGCAATGGATTCGAGTTCAGGAGTGGGGGAATTTGGTGAGGGAGGGCACCAGAGCTTTGCCACCACAGTCCCAGATTCTTTGGGCAAGTCACCCACACTCCCTGGTCCTCAGTTTCCCCATCTGTACAATGATGGTAATAACACTTCACCTACCTCATAGGGGAGGTTGTGAGGCCACCATCACCTGACCTAGGAGTCAAGACAAGAACCAGCCTGGAGCAAAGTATTATTACTACAGCCTGAGAGCAAGGCCCACCTGCCCTTCCCCCCCCCCCCAGGAGCCTCCAAGGACAGCCCAGGCCAGCCAGAGCCTGTTTGTCTCTTCATTGTGTCCCAAGGCTCCATCATTAGAGTCATCTGCCATCTTTGTGGGCACCCTAGACTAGTTGTTTACCCTGTTCAGGTATTCCTTCTTGTGACCATCTGCTCCACGTATCTGCTGTACAAATTCCACCTGCCCCAAGACCCCTTACAACTGCCCTCTGGCACCAAAGGCCATGAGAGAGTCAGAGGAAAACAATCACACACACACACACACACACACACACACACAAAGCCAAGGGGTTCCTAGCCCAGTTGGAGCCCCAGGGGTGTGGGGATTGGTGGCCGCTGTTTGTATTGTGTTTGAGTCCTTGAGCGCAAGTGTTTTATAAAAAACAAAACATAAAAAAACCCACTATCACAAAAAAAAGCAGCAAAGAGAAATGAAGAAAAAAAATTGAAGAAAAAAAAAGGAAAAGGAAAAAAGAACCATACAAAATTTTTCCACTACACGCACCCTCTCTTAAGCCAGCAAGATTTCCTCTTTGCAAAATCCATATTTTTGTGGGAATGGGCCCTGCTTTTTGTAGCAAGGCCTGTTCTGATTAATAAAGGATCGTGAAAAAGTAGGGCCTCTCTTGTTTCCTCCGTGGGGCCCAGCTTACTCTAACCTCCCCAGAGGAAGAAGCAGGTGGAAAAGGAAATGGGGAGCCTGGGACTGAGGCTTCTCCCCCCACCCCCTCCCTACCTCAGCTTGCCATCTTTGGGACTTCCTAGTGGACCTGGCCCTGTTTGAGCTTCATCCACCCTCAGATGTAGACTGCCCAGAAAGTAAGGAGTCCTATCGCCCAGGTCAGACTGAAACTAAGGCATATTGGAAATCAAGTTTCCTCCAGGCCTCGGGGGCAGTCTTTGATCTCACCGAATTGGACACCCTATCAGTTCCCCCCAGGGACCTTTGCTTCCTGACTCCTCTGAAAGATCAAATAAGGCAAAGGTGACCCCCTTACTTTCCCTACTTCCACCTGCTCAGCTGCTGGGGTTTGGGGCCAGTGTCCTCTTCCTGGTTCCCTGGTTGTGGGGGGAGGGGTGCTGGGGGGAGGATAGAACTCTAGGTCTATTGGCTTGACCTATAGTCTCTCTTTTCTGTAGTCTCTTAGGAAAAAAAAACAAAAAACTTTAAGGAGCCCTTGGCAAGTTCTAGCTTGAGGGCCTGGAAAGCGAAATTCCCTTTTCCTCCTGTCTGTGGCTCTCGGTCAGCTATTTCCTTCCTCCTGCTCTTAGCATCCTGGCCACAAAGAAGCAATACCATTCAGACGTTTCCCCACCCAGGGCAGGGGCAGTGCTGGAAGCTCTCAGGGTCCTTTGGGAGGTGGCACTCTATTTCGGACAGAGGCACAAAAGAAACCGTGCATGTCACTTGTCTACCTGCCGTCCCTGACCCACTCTGGAGTTTAGGGAGCCACATACCTCGTGTCCCCCCTCATTTGGGGCCGACAGCCGCCTCCTTGAGCTGCACGATGTGCCCCCCCTTCCACACCCCCAAGCTGCTGTCCATCTTCTCTGCCTCCTCAATTTCCTACAAATCTGGTCCCTTTTCCAAGGGCCAGGGTGTCGCTCGGTGGCGGAACTCTTGCCTAGCTAGCATGAAGCCCTGGGCCTAATCCAAAGCACCAGAAAGGGGGTGGCGGGTGGGGATTGACTTCTTTTGGCTTCTGATCTCTATGCCAGAGATTGCAGGGGGGCCCTTGGGTCAGGTAAGTAGCCTCAGGGGCCACCCCCCCCCTTTGTGGGAACTTCTGTTCAGGCTTTTTGAAAACAGCCCTGGGAAACAGCCTGATAGCCAGGTGCCACCAGCTCAGGGCCTTTTCCCCTGGCTTTTGGCCTCTTCCTTGGTTGTCGCTGCTCCGGAGCCTCACGCAGGCCTGCTCTGAGCTTGCCCCCTCTCCCCTCCCTGCGCCTGGGACTGCTGCTGCCTGGTGTTTCCTTTGTCTTGCAAGTCCTCCGCTGGACGCATTACTTCCTTGGAAGGCCATCCTGGGCTTTACTGCTCCCCTCCCACTCCCACAAAGACAAGCAGAAGGACCCTGCCACACTCGCTGTTATGCCCCCAGCCTGTGGTTCCCTCACCGCCTGTTTCCTGTGAAGACATCCCGCGCCCCATGTCCGTTGTCCTGTGTGTGTGCGTGCGTGCATGTGTGCGGGCATGTGTGCGTGTGTGCTGTCTTTTAGATTGTGAGCCCTCCTGGGCAGAGACTCCTGTCTGAATCCGTGTTCTGTGTGGCACACCTGGGTGTGCTAATAAATGTCCATCTTCACAATCACAGTGGCCAGGTGTCTTCAAGAAGCTTTTGGACAAATAGCCGAGAAAAAGCCTGTGTGGTAACACTGGACACAAGGAGGTGGTTCTGGTCAGGGGACCCAGTTCTCCCCCATTCCCAAACCCTAAGGGTGGGAGACAGTGAGGGAATGGCAGTAACAGAGCTAGAAAAGGATACTGCCCAACCCCAAGTCCCTGCTGCTCTTCTGGCCAGGAGGTCGGCTTGTCTGGAGGTTTGGAGACAGGGTATATGTGGAAAAGAGACAAGCAACTCCATAGTTCTCAGCCCTGGCTGTGGGAAGTCACTCTACTGACCCAGACTTTTTTCTTGCTCTACCATCTTCTGAATGTGTGTGTGTGCACATGCATGCGTGCGTGCACATGCACACCCACACTGGGGCTTGAATTCAGAGCCTCCTGCTCTTGCTTAGCTTTCTAGCTCAAGGCTAGCACTTTACCACCTGATGCACATCTCCACTTCCAGCTTTGTGTTGGTTAACTGGAGATAAGTCTCTCTCAGATTGGTCTGCCCAGGCTGGCATCGAACCTCAATCCTTAGATCTCAGCCTCCTGAGAAGCTAGGATTATAGGCATGAGCCACCAGTGCTTGTCCCAATTCCTTTCTCTTCTTGGTTCCCACAGCCTTCCCTCCTCTGCCCTTGGCCTTCCCATGGCCTTTGTGCCCACATCCCTGGCACCCACACAGCTTTGCTGAGGCCTGCCACCCACACCCTCCCCCACTGCTGGCTGCTCCTGCTCCTGGACGGTGTGGGAACCACTAATGTTGCCATAGTCACCGGCATCCTACCGGCATCCCTTTTCCCTGCTCCCTAGAGGCTGAGGGGAGAACGCATAGGAAGTTGTGGGATGGCCAGGGGTGAAGAAGCCTCCCCAAGGGAAGCGAGGGTGCCCAGGGTACCCAGCAACAGCCCCCCACCACCTTCCCATCGCTCTCATTTCCTCGTAGAAATAGTGACCCTTGCCAGCACTCAGCGCCTTAACCAAACTCGAACTTTCCAGTGGCTAGGGAGTGAACAGTAAAAAGGGCCCTGACAGTCCTCCCTTTCCCCAAGGAAATGGCCTCTGTAGTCCCTGCTTGGCTGACAAAAGTCCATGAAAAGGATGCCAGGCTTGATAGAGCCGAAGGGTGGGCAGCAAACCAGCACAGCCGGGGAGGGCGAGGGCGAGCAGACCAAAGAGGCTCAGGCAGCACCAAAGGGAAGGAGAGAAATATGGACACACGTGGGCCTGGGGAGCTGTATTGTAAAACTTAAATAAATCCACATCCTTGCCTACAAATGGAGAGACGGAGGCCCGGGATGAAGGGGTCAGGAGCAGGAGCAGGACAGAGCCCAAGCCTTCTGGTTCCACACCAGGATACTTCCCCTATGTCCCAGACAAGTTTTAGGTCAAGAGGACAGTTCTTGGGGTCACTGTCCTGTCCAGATTGATGATCACCACACACACACACACACACACACACACACACCAATCCCTTCTTCCTCCAAGTTCACACACACACACACACACACACCCCAATCCCTTCTTCCTCCAAGCTCCCAGGCTCCAGAAACTCCACCAGCCCAGACTGTAGCTCAGTGAGGACTGAGTCTACAGACAAGCCCAAGTCCCACCCTTGGTGAGGAAACAGCCTGCATCTCCCTGATCTCCCTCCATCTGTCTGTGATCCCTGGCCCTCACAGTCTGCTCCAGATGTGTCCCTGGCCTCCTCCTTACCCAAGGCCCAGCCCACAGTGCCAGACTCGCCACTAGGGAGACCCTGACCTTTCGGCCCTGAATGACATCAGTCCCATTGCCATGGTGACCAAGAGGCTGCTGGAACTTCTCCTGGGAGATGGGCCTCTAGGCTGAAGGTTTTACAATTTTCTTCCCTTCTTTAAATCTTTTTGCCCTGAACGACAAAGGAAGAGAGTAATGCCAAAACAGAGAGAGGGAGGAGGAGGAAACAGGTGGCAGAAGCGAGCAAGTATGGTCATAGGATGGGGTGGGGCAGTTCTGGTAAAAGAACACCAAAAGGTCAGTCCACAAGGTAGAACTTGAAACCATCTAAGAACCTGGAACC